AAAAAACCCAAAATATATTCCCAAATCATAATTTGTCAGTAATCATGATAATTTGTCACTGCTTGTCCAAACCACCTCATTTAGCAACACATTTCCCACTATTGAAGCTGCTTTCGTGTTTTATACCTCCAAGTCTTTATACATAAAGAAGGATCCCATTTCAAAGTATCAATCAGACTGCACCATGCCCCTGCTCAAAGACTAAAATTCTTACCGAAGAGCTGACTCCCAACTATCTCTGCAACTTCACATTCTATCACACTATGAAGGAAGGTTGGAGGAAGGGGTATCCTCCATTCCTGAGGGAATCACAGGATGCCTGACAGGGTCTCAGCAGGAAAGACACAGCCTAGCATGCCCATCCGACTTTATCAGGAGATCCTCAAACATTGAAGAGAAAGGGAGTTTGGGAGGGAGGCAAGGATCTACAAATCTCCTCCCAGGTGATCCCTATTTTTCCACATACATACACACACCCAAAAGAAGGGGGAAAAAGAAAGCCTATACTAGGGAAACAAATGCTTCTAGCCACAGTAAAGAATTTGCCAAACTCACACTACCAAGAAAGACCCTAATTTTGTTCTCTTTGAGAAAGATTCTTATAATGACAATTAGAGCCTTCATGTCAAGTTCTGTCCTTTTTTAAAAAATTAAACATGACCTCGCTTAATCCTAAATGAGTGCCATTTTATTGATTAAAAAAAAAAACAAAACTAAGGCTCAGATAGGTGAAGACATATTCCCAAGGCCACAGAGCAGGCTGAAGTTGAGCCAGAATTGAAGCCAGTTCAGCTGAGGCCCTTCTGGATGACTCCGATCATTCCACCATGAGGGAACTGAGTGGGTTCATCAGAATCTTGTGGAAAATCAAATGATTAATACCACTCATGTCCTGTGACTATCTTTCCCAGGCTCCCAGGTAATGCCAAGCTTGTTAAGTCTCACCAGGGAGCTGGGAATCTTAGGCCCGACGTCTCCACTACAACTCTGGGGACCCGCCCCTCTGGAATTGTAGAGGGAGCAAATGGACCAGAGAGGGCCATGCACGACCAGACACTCCAACTAACTCGAAAAAGCTGACTTTTCAGGTTGGGGGCACAGGGGTGGTAGTGGGAGCGGTGACAGGGAATGCTTCTCAGACCCAAGATCAGGGACTCTCGATCTCCTACTCAAGCTAGAGTCCCCTAAACCACGCTCAGAGATCCGAGACCTCAGATGCCTGGGTCTTCTGGGTCAGGACCCTCGGGTGTTGCCTCAGGCCCAATATCCAAAAATCCCTAATGACGGCTTCAATGAGACGAACCCCAGATCAAGACCCCCAGTCCCAAGGCTTCTGACTCAAGACCGTGACCTCCGTGCAGCAGCAGTCCCCACACCCCTAGACTTCCTGGGTTCAGGATCGATCTACCGGAGAAACTAGGAACCCCTTTTCCACATGAGACCGGATCCTGGGCTCAGAACCCCAGCCACAGGCCAAGGCCCCACCCCTCCGACTCTGGCCTGGCACCTGAATGCTCACTTAGTCCCTGACCACGGACCCCCAACCCCAGTCTGCACCTGGTTTCATGGCTAGCGCTGACCGGCTCGACTTGGGAGTCTGCGGCGTCCCTAACTCCACGAGTCCCGGGCTATCACACGTGGAAAAGAGCGCAAGCGGGCGACGAAGTGCTGCGCGTGACGCAACCGCGTATCCCCGCCCCCGTCTCTGCCCCGCCCGGAGCGCCGAGCGCTCAGTGGGCGGGGATTCGTCGGCTTCTCAAAACACCGCCCACTCGGCTTGCTGTCTGTACTCAGTTTTTGCTTGTAGAGCGTTCTCTACACTAACCTCGCTTTCCATTTGCCATTCGCGGTGCGAGAACCCCAGTAATCAGGGCTCATACTCAAGCTTTCTCACGGGCTGTGTCCTCTACCTCTATTCTACATATATTCCTAGCTTACTCCCTAAAGCCCCTCTGCATCCAAAAAGCCTCCCTGACCCATTTCCACCCCTGTTCTGAGCTCTCATTCATACATTAAAAAAAAAATTATTGTGCACCTTGTATGTATGGTTAGTAAAACCCTTTGAGTGTTAGAAGGCAATTAAGTGCTTTGAAGAAAACAACAGGGAAGGGCTATAGGTACTGTCGTGGGGTGGAGGGTTGTATAGTGGTCAAGGAATGCATCAGGTGACTTTTGAGCAAAGAGTCCCAGAGATCACGCTTCAGTCTTTTCTGTCTATCTTGATGATTCATCCACTTTGATTGTATTAAAAACTGGCAACTCCTACATTTATTTCTCCAGCTTGGATTTCTTCCTTGGACCCTACACTCACATGTCCAACTGTCCAATTAACATTTCTACTCTGACGTTGCACACAAGCATTAACAAATGCATGTTATAAATTACGACATTGGTGGCTTAACCAACAGAAATTTATTCTCTTGGGCTCGGTGCCTGTAGCGCACTAGCTGGGGCGCCAGCCACATACACCGGAGCTTGTGGGTTCAAATCCAGCCCAGGCCTGCCAAACAATAAAGACAGCTGCAACCAAAAAAAAGCTGGGCGTTGTGGTGGGCGCCTGTAGTCCTAGCTACTTGGGAGGCTGAGGTAAGAGAATCGCTTAGGCCCAGGAGTTTGAGGTTGCTGTGAGCTGTGATGCAAGCGCACTGTACCGAGGGTGACATAGTGAGAATCTGTCTCAAAAAAAGAAAGAAAGAAAAGAAAAATTTATTTTCTCAAAATTGTGGATGCAAGAAGTACAAAATGAAGGGATCTGCAGGACCTCACTTCCTCCCAAGGCTCTAGGGGAAAATCTGTTCTTTTTCTCTTCCAGCTTCTGGTGGCTGCTGGCATTCCTTGGCTTGTGGACACATCACTCCAGTCTCTCCCTCCATCTTCATAGTGTCTTCTCTGTATCAGATCTCTCTCTACCTCCCTTTTCAAAGGATATGTATGATTACATTTAGGGCTCACCCAGCTAATCCAGAATAATCTCCCTATCTCAAGATCCTTATTCATATCTGTAAAGACCACTTAGCCAAATAAGGTAATATTTCCAGGTTTCAGGGATTAGTACTGATGTCTTTGGAGGAGAGGGGTGCATTTTTCAGCCTACCACACAGTATTTCAAACTTAGCACATAGTAGATGCTCAAACATATTTATTGAATGAATGAAGGAATGTTCAAGGCAGGGTTATAAGGGCTAGCCTAGATATACTTTTCAGGGAAAAATAAAACTAGATCAGGTGTCCTATGACAATTTCAGAGGCTCTTCAGAGGCTGTTATGACTGGGATCTTGGTGACTTAACAAATTTTCTTTTAAACTTTTATAACAAAACTTTAAAACTCTTTGCAAAAGTGAAGACTATAAGAATCCCCCCTATTTATTTATCACCCAGCCTTAACAACCAACAACATCTAAAACAACCTTGTTTTATCTATTGCCCCACTATCTTTTTCTCTGGCATAACTAATTAATTAATTAAGAGATAAAGTCTCATTTTATTACCCTCAGTAGAGTGCTGTGGTGTCACAAGTCACAGCAACCTCAAACTCTTGGGCTTGAGCAATCCTTTGGCCTGAGCCTTCTGAGTAGTTGGGATTACAGGTGCTTGCCGAAATGTCCATCTAGTTTTTTTTTTTTTTAGAGACAGGGTCTCACTATGTTGCCCAGGCTGAAGTGCAGTAGCCATTCACAGGCTGATCCCACTACTGATCAGCATGG